AGTGCGATTGTCCAGCGGGAGGGTGTAGGGGGAGCCTGAGCTTGATTGGGGATCGACAGGAAGATGGGCGAGGGTAGCGGAGAGTCGCAGGCAACATCGGAGAGTGGCTGAGAGGGGACTGCAAGGAGCAGGGATCTCCCGGTGGGGTCCATCGCGTCCGCCGTGCGTGGTCAAACCCAGCGGGCGGGCGGGCGCGTCACAAACCGGGCAAAGCGGAAGGGGTTAACGCTGGGAACCTGAAGGCTATAATTCTAACGTGTCAGGCGCTGACATTGTTTAAATTGTGCTCATTGATTCCGGCGAGACGAATGTGTTGTTAATTCTCAAAATATAAAGGCGGCGCTGTCGCACGTCCAGGGGAGGTTAGTCTCTGAAGGGTGCCTCTCTCCCGCTTTGTTTCGCCCCTTGTTTTGATTTTGCACGCGCACGCGTGACGCACCTGTTTGTCACCCCCGCGCCCTCGCTTAAACGTGCGTGCGTACGTACGCGCGACCTCCCGGCCAAATTAACGCAAGGTCGGCCACCGTCCATCAGTCAACGTGATTCGGTGACACGCAGGTTGGGGGGGGGGGGGGGTGGGGCGGGGGCTGAGCCCTTGGCAGCGCCGGATATTCGTCCCGGCAAAAAAAATTTGAGCAATCTCAGGGCGCATGCGATGTGTTTGCATCAGGCAGGGCGGCCTAAATTTAAATGCGGAGCGACCCAATTGTGGTGTGCGGCTATCAATCACGCGCTTGGACATTCTCGCCTGAGAAGCACACAAACATGGGGGGGGGGGGGGGGGGGGGGGGGGGGGGGGGGCGGCCGAGGGGCGCGGTGGAATAATAACACGCCGGACAGTGCCGACGCTGAGCCCCTGGGTTTCAATTCGGCTTTCAGGCCTCCTGTGATTAAACCGACCGGGATCTCAAAAAGTGCAGCGAGTCGGCGCCCTTCAGCCCGGTCACAGGTGACCGCGCAAAACACAATCGTGTCAAGCATCTCGGCTTTTGACTCGTCGGGTTCTGAAAACGTCTCGCTCTGTGGAATGACTCGTTCATTGGATTGATTGTCATGGCGGCCGTCATGTATCTTCTCACATGCGCTGCTAACAGAGGTGATCATCCCATGTTCTTCACGTGGCCGATCTTGGTGCGAAGCAACAACTGTAATTGCATCAGGAATAGCGGAGTGGTGCATCGCTGTGATGATGAATCGGGCGCCGAGTTGTTACGTTTCTTTGTGCAGGCAGCGGATGCAGCTGCTAATCAGAGGTGCAGGGGAAGGACAACAAACTAAACACAAAAAGCAGTTGGAAAGAAATTAGTTTTCAATCTGGATTTTAAATTCCACAGCTCCGGTGGCCTCCTAATATACGGAAGAGCCTCGCAGATGGCCGCAGAAGCGCACCCGAAAGCGCGCGACCGTCTTTGTCCGATGGCCAGACCAAAGCCGCTGCTGCGAAGACGACCGGAGCACGTGTGACGACGGTTCATGCTACTTGACCTGATCAGCAAGGGTTGTGCCCCCCCCCCCCCCGCCCGTAAGCTTCGCGAGGTGTTTGTGACTCCTGTTGAGCTCCATGTGGCTTTCAAAGCATCATCCCTCGCGTGGATAAGAGGCAATTCAAGGAACTCAGAAGCAGTTCTGTGATATCACCTTGCGGAAGCCGTTTCTCTTGCACAGGGTGATGTAACACTGCTTTCTCTTAGCATTATGAATGGAAATGTCTGTTTCATGACACGACACTGATAAGCTAAATTGGAATAGAGCCCGTAAATAGAAAGATAAAAAAAAAATCACAATACTCCAGTTCACAATACTGCTACCTTCACAGTCGAGATGCAAATTAAGATATGTGAGGTTATGCCACCTTTTGACAATTCGTTACAAAAGGGCAGTTATTAATTTATTCAGACGTCTACTTTGTAAGCGATGTCCTCTCGCAATATAAAGCGCACGGCTCCTGCAAGCAAACTGCATTTCAAAATGTCTATTTCGATTCAGATGTACGTGCGTTGGTAGCTGTGACCTCTGGCAATATAACGTCGCGCAAACATTTCTATTCTCCCCACCGCCGCCGCCTCCTCCTCCTCCTCCGGTGACGCAAACATTCCCTTATCGAAGTAATTCCTCCCCCCCCCCCCCCGAGCCCGCGGGTCGTGGGCAGGCGATGGACGTGCCGATGCGCAGTAGGGGAGGGGGGGGGAGAGACAGGGGGCAGCGAGGGGGAGTGGGCAGGGTAGCCTCCCCTCCCCCCTCCATGAATAAGGCGGCGATAGCGGTAGCAGCAGCGGATTTGGATTTTTCCCAACGTTCCCGATCGGCGTATTGCCGGGAGAGGGGGTGGGAACGTTCACGCTGGCGGTACGGCATGCCCCGCACGCCGTTACTCCCCGCGTGTGCACCGCCGCCGGTAGAACCTAATCTGTTCTGCAAACAAGCGGCAGCCGGCGGCCAAAGTAAAACGCGCTGGCCCGGGTCGGGCCTTGCCTTGCAGCGAGGTCTTTATTTAGTAACGCGGCAAACGTTTCTCCCGGCGCTGGGGCTTAGCGGCTTCCTCTTAAATGGACTGCGACGCCCGTTTTACAGTGCTTGCCGAGACCCAACGGGGAACACAGAAGAAGTGCTCGCGAATTCGAAACCGTGTCAGGCCCTCCACCTCAAACCGGTGCGAGGACCTCGATAATTATAGTCACATGTGGCTGTCGCGCGAAGCAAAAAAAAGTTGATTAAAAAAAATTTCCCCCATTCATGATTCACAACGACTCTGTCAATCCAATGGAGGCTTTCGTGACTGTTATACGGGAGCACTCTAACCATACTTCGCCAAGGTGGCCCGTGCGGGTCGGTGGAAGGAGCGACCTAGGATCGGCTCAGATGCGGCTCGCCGCCGACGGATGCCGAGCCTTGGCAAAAAGGTGTAAATTTCTTTCTCACGGCACTGTGATAAATATTCAAATAAAATGGACACATAAGAATATGCACCATCATTGTAATCCATTGTCAGAGCGTGTTTATTTGCATGTTTTGCCAAAGGTACGTGTGGTTCACGCACACTCGATGCCTTGTAGTTGGTGTGTCTGTTTGGTGTTCGAACATCTTAACACACCAGTTTTCATTTCCACAAAGGGTTAAGCCTATTCTTTTTTTTTCATTATTTTGATACTCGGCAAAAAAGGTCCCCATAGATATAATATATTACATTTGTAAAGAGGCTCATTTCATCTGTCTAAATCAAAACGCGCCCCGAGTATGGAAAGCAGAAAATAAACAGAACCTGCATGCCAGAACTGGGTGGGTGGGGGTAATTTAAAGAAGGGGAGTTTTCTAGACAGACTGAGCTCAAACGACTCCGATCATCTGATTACGAAAGGCGTTCCAACGCCTGGAAGCTGCCGTGGCAAAGGGCCTACTCTTCCATGCTGGCCGGATGTCTTGGGAGAGGCGAGGAGTGCCCGCGTTTCACCCCACCACCAATCAATTCTCGCAGTGGTGGAGCCCATTTATAACGCCGCCGGGTGGACCGCTGGGCGGGGAGGGGGTATGGGCAGGTGGACGATTTAAGAAACCCGGCACCGCCGTTTCAACGGCCGCGCCAGGAGGTGGAACCGGCGACCTCCGGGTCGCAAGCGAAGCGTGCCGCCCGTCACACCGCAGTGCAGCGTAGCAGTTTGATAGACGTCTGCGTAACCAAATATATATATATATATCTCTTGCTGTAAACCTGTGCGTTTCCTGAAAAAAGCCAGTCGACTGAAACGCCAATTTCTTTCTTTCGCCCAAGTCACGGCAAAAAAACAAAAAAAAAACCCGTCATTATTTTTAATTGGCCTATTATATCGTAGGATTTCACTGAAGAATTAACTCGACGGTGTTCCCTGGGGGGGGGGCAATCCCATGGTAACAGAATTACAGCACGGGGCCCACGGAAGTTGAATACGGCTGCTATTGGCCTCGTTACCATGGACTTGCCCACACAAATATAAAGTTTCCCCGTACAGCCTTAGAAGACTGTTGGGGCAAGTGCTGTAAGCACCGATGAAGGCCTGCACGACACATTTGGGGGTGGGTGGCCAGCACCACGTACGTCCTGCCCGCGGGCGTTCGACACTTCACGTGGCCTCAAGGTGCACATGGCCTGGCACAAGCTTCGTGGTGACGTCACCGCCACTTAGTGGCGAATGGCGGTTGTTGTTGTTGTTCTTGTACGTCCGCCCTCGTCTCCCAAGTCGAGATGGTTACACATTGCACCAGGTCCACATTTGAGGCTGAGTCGACCTAGGGGAGGCCCAGGACCGGTTCTGGTGTTGCCTGTGAGCGGGAATCGAACTCGGGTCGCTGAATTCATAGTGCAGCGTGCTAACTGCTACACCACCGCTCACCATAAGTATATACTTGTCCACACACACACATATGTATTAAAAAAAAGGTCAAAGTGCCAAATTAAACATGAGACAGATCCATATTCAAGCACACAGACCCATGGTTTTGCATAGAGACCCATGGTTTCACCACAACTCGCAACTGTACATAGAGATGACCTAAAGACTTACATAGAGATCCACAGGCTTACATAGAACCCCAAAGCCTTACATAGACACTCAAGAGATTCACATTAAACATATAGATTGACATAGCGGCCCACAGACTCGCATAAAAACCCATCTCTAGCCCTTCGCCCGTGGTGGAACTTCCTAATTCCTAACAATATGGCACGGTGCTTCACCGGTAGTTGCAGCCAGTTACCATCAGGCAGATTTCTGGCAACTGCCTGATGACGCTGGCGGTATTTACCACAGGGACGTCATGCCAAATCATTAAGTGCTGTGAATTTCTCTCCAACACACCGGCATGGCTGAAGTGGCAACACACAGGCACACTCGTTCACGAGACGACTTGACTGGCTGCGTCGGGCGGAGGAGGGGTTTACAACACACCGCAGGAGTGAGCGCAACACAGACTCTACCGGGCAGTTCTTGAGACCGATCGCACCGCGGTCGGCTGGCTGACCGGCTTACTTCAAGTCCACGGTGTTGTAGACGGTGCGGAGGAAGGCGGCGTCGGGCTGATTGGCCTCGCTCGTTAGCGTGTGGAAGTAGACGAGGATGTAGTCGCGTGACGCCACGTGGTCCATCACGTGGATGAAGTAGAGAAGCGCCTGCGTGTGCGTGCGTGCGTGCGTGCGCGTGTGGGGATCGGGGGTGCAATGGTTAGCTGCGCTGAGCTAATGAAACTCGACGACCCGAGTTCGATTCCCGTTAATGGCCAGCAACAACTACGATCATCCGAACCGGTCCCGGGCCTCCCCTAGGTCGACGCAGCCTCAAATGAGTACCTGGTGCGATGTGTAAACATCGCCACTGGGGAGACAAAGGCGGCCGGGCGTGGTGTTGGCCACCTACACCCCCTTGCGTGCCGTGCTGGCCTTCATAGGTGCTCGCTAACCGCACTTGCCCCCAACAGCCTGTTAAGGCTACACGAGAGATCTTTGTGTTTGGGCAGAGACAAAGTGGAGAGCGCGATAGTGCAGCAGTTTGCGAGCTACGCTAATGAACCCGGTGACCCGAGTTCGATTTTCGCTCAAGGCCAACATCAGTGAAGAACATCTGGGCCAGTCCCGGGTCTCCCCTATATCGACTTCAGCTTTAAACGGGTACCGATTAGCATGGTTGGCTACGTACGGTGCGAGAGAAGTTCAACATACATGCGAGACATCACGTTGACAATTTATAAAAGTGGAATTGGCCAGGACGCGTCACTAAATGGGCCGACGGCCGATGGATAAGACTGGGAATGGGGATGGCAGCTAAAGGAGGAAACGTGACCCTGAGAGTACGACGACTGTGGCACTCGAGCAACGAGGTGAGTTAATGTGCAGGGGTCAGACGTATTGTGACATCGCAGGACCATGCGAGTAAGAATCGACGTTTTAAACTTCGTAAAGTGTTCATAGTGACCCCTACAGCCACTAGTGGCGGCTACAATCACCACATTTGTAATAATAATACTGTGTTCATGGTTCGAATTCTGACCTTGAATTCGGGCAAATTCATCGAATCACCGAGGGATTTAGGAGGAGGAGAGTGAAATGAGCCGTTACATCTCATGAGGTTGCCTAGAGGCTGGAATTTAAATGTAAATGTACCTGGCCTGGTACGCGGCGACCTTCCGCAGACCACAGGGGATAGGGCATCATCAGCGGGCCCTGACAGATTTCTGCATCCCACCTTTCATTACAAAACCCACAGGCGTCCACCGCTGCTATTTCGGTGCGCACCTTCGACTCGCGGCCGCCGCTACGCGTTGCCGCAACGGGCGCTGCCCGTCGGTAACAACCGCCGTGCAATTAAACGGCGAGAGAGCCCGGGGGGTGACGCGCGTCGCGGCGATGGGAGCGGCGACGAGGTCGGCTCGCGCGCAGGCGCCGGGCGGATTGTTAACGTCGCCGGACCCCGTGACGTTTCCCCGCTTGCTTTGCGGCGCCGCTGAGAAGCGGCACGGTGCGTTGGCCGCCGCGCAGATACAACGCTGGCAAGCAAAGAGCGGCGGGGGCGGGGGGGGGGGGGAATCTAACCTATGTCGGACGGTAGGCCTCAAGCAAAAATATACCTGAATTCAAACGTGTTGAATCGGAAGATAACCGCGTAACGATGTCAGGCACCGTGACGCCGACTGCCCCCTGTATATTTCCACTGATGGATGAAGGCCTCCCCCCCCCACCCACCATGATGTAAACACAATAAACTAAAACAATTTCTACTATCAACCAATTTTATTCTACCAGGGTAAGGCTCACTGAGCAACGTAGCTCTTTTTTTTTTTACAGAAGCTCCCTGGCCACAGATGGATCGCTCCACCAAGTGGTTGACCACGTGGGAATTTATAGCAGCAGCCAAATACTCTAAATGCATGTTTCGAAACGTGGAGGGAGAAACCGGAGGACCCGGAGAAAAATCCAAGTGACCACGGGGAGAACATGCAAACTTCAAATATACAGACGTCAAGGTCGGGATCGAACCCACGACCTCCTGTATACCAGGCGAGGTAGCTAACATCTCGCCAGCGTGGCGCCAATACACTGCAGGACAGAACGCCGACAAACGTGTCTCACGCAGCTGCGGCTGAAGGACTCAAATGTGCCCGCGGATCGTAAAGGGATCTCTAACCGACGCAGCATTACGAGGCCGGAGCCGCCTCGTATAACTGAGCGTCTAAACGCGTAACCCCTCACAAAATCCCTCGGGAGAGGGGGGGGGCAAAAAGCAGGGGGTGCGGGGTGTGGGGTAGGGTCGCACAAAAGCGGGGGTGGGGTGGGTGGGGGCCGGGCATGGGCACTGCCCGCGATTACTGCAGCCAAGACATCTGAGCCAAGCTCAACCGCGGTACAGCAGCGGTGCACATAATAGATATACACACATACAGTCACAGCAGCGGTGCATATGATAGATATACACATACCCACACAGTCACAGCAGCCGCTTTTGCGGTTTCATTAAAGCAAATTTTCATCCTGCACATTTTACGAACGCGAATTAAACCGCGATGAATATACGCCACATGTATTGGGAGCCCAAAATATTTCGCTCACAGTGGCACAAGCCATGAGCAGCGGTGGAAGCACAGCTGCCGCTGATGCTGCCACGACGGGTTGAATTATCTTTAATGCCAGCCGCCAAATCAACCGGAACGTGCCCGGATCTCGTCGGGTCGCGGATGCTAACCAGAGCTGAGCCTGCTTAGTGCTCGGGATGGGTGACCACCAGTGCTTGCCAGGTGTTGCAGGCATGGGGCTGCTACGTGGTGACGAGATGCCAGTGCTGCAATGGATTCAGTTCACAGCTGAATCAGGTGGATTTAGGCGTGGAATTAATCCATCTGTGCGGAGCTTTGAGTGTTATCCCCCCCCTTTGCTCGGTGGGTTTACCCTGTGGTTCTCTGTTAGCCTCCCATACGCCGAATGGAAACTGGCTAAACTTCTTAATGCAGGACTCCTGGGTTAATTAAAAACGTATTCACCATCATTTATCATCACGATCATTATCAATCAAGGGCCAGATCGAAGGCGCGAGCTGCCTTCTCAGCTCTCGTTCTCTCCCCGAACATCTCAGCTCTGCGGGACCTCACACCTCCATCTGCACAACATCCTCCGCCATTTCCGTAGCCCAGCTGCCGCTGAGACCCTCGTCCATGCGTTCAGCACATCCTAACTCCGCTTCAAAGTGGAGAGAGCTTGATAAGATTGTACCGAGTGTGCAGTTGTATTGTTTTGGACTTAGCTGTTCCAACGGGGAGAGATTAATACCATGGTACTGAGTGTGTAGTCGTATTGTCTTGGAGTTAGCTGTCCCAATTCGGAGAGATTAATAACATGTTACCGAGTATATTCTTGGTTCTTTCGGTAAAGTCACGTAGAAGGGAAACAATAAAATAATAAAAATATAAAACAAACACATTTTCTTGCTGTGGTTTTCACACCTGATGATGATTGCTCGTGTTGCAGTCGAAACGTCCTGAGAATTTTATTGTTTTATGTTTTTATTATTTTATTGTTTCCCTTCTACGTGACTTTACCGAAAGAACCAAGAATATGAATCCCTGCAGTCACTAAAGCTTTAAATAAAAAAAATGTTACCGAGTGTATAGTTATACGATATTGGACTTAACTGTTCCATAGGCCCAGCCGGACCATTGGCACAAATTCGCTCGTTGCTACGCTACATGCCGAAAGCCGACATTAGGCCCCTCCTGAATGGACTCTCTCCTGCTATATTTATAGAGCTCTGCTCCGACTGAAGCAGGGCCATTGCCCGAAACGTCACGCAATTATAAACCACCATCATTTCCTTTGAGAAACGATGAAACGATAAAACGCAGATCTGACGCAATCAGCATCTCCACACGCCAAACCAGCGCCATCGGTTTCTCTTGTGAACTCTGAACGGGTTAAAAGGTGTGTGTGTGTGGGGGTTAGGGTTGGGGGGTCACGGCTTCAGTCAAATGGGGATGGGAGTATGATGTGAGGATGCCAAGAGGTGGTGGAGACGGTGGTGGTGGGGGGCTCGCAAATAACCCTCCTGCTCCTCGTTACTCGCAGCAGCACCCCCCACGCTGTGAATGGCCATCATTCACGTGGGCATGGGCAGCAGCAGCAGCAGCATCAACAGCAGCAGTAATAGCAGCAGTAGCTACAGCAACAGGAGCAATATTAACATCATCAATAGGAGCGGCTGTAACAGTAAAAAGCTACAGCAGCATGATAATCATCATCAGCAGCAAGGGCAGCAGCAGCAACAGCAGAAGCAGTCACAATAACAGCAACACCAGCAGTGGCAGCAGCAACAGCAGTGGCAGCAGCAACAGCAGAAGTAGTCACAACAACAGCAGCAACAACAGCAGTGGCAGCAGCAGCAGCAACAACATCTGCAGCACTAACAACAGCAGCAACAACAGCAGCAGTAACAACAGCAGCAACAACACCAGCAGCAGCAACAACATCAGCAGCAGTAACAACAGCAGCAACAACAGCAGCAGTAACAACGGCAGCAACAGCAGCAGCAGCAGTAGCCGCAGCAACAAATGTCGCAGCATCAGCAATGGAAGCAGCAGTAACAACAGCAGCAGTAAGAGCAGCAACAGCACAAACAACAACAGCAGCATCAAAAGCGGCGGCGGCAGCAGCAGCAGCCTACGCGTGGATGAATCAGAGCTCTTCTAGATTTAAAGCTTTCGTGACTGCTAGGATACATACTCTTTGGTTCTATTGGGTAAAATCACGTAGGTGAAAAGCGCTGTCCTACCAGACAGTCTCGTCCCTTCACCTGATGAAGGCCGCTTGCGTTGTGGCCGAAACGTCGTGATTTTTTGTTATTTTATTTTCACCTACGTGACTTCACCCAATAGAAGCAAAGAGTATGAATCAGAGCTCTGCCAGAACGGCGGCGACGCTTCCGGATACGCAGCGATCCACGCTTCCATCCCATAATTAAATTCACCTTCCCATGGGGGAACTTAAAGCCCGCCCAACATCCCCTCTCAACAGCTTACGGCACACACATTCAAATGATGGTGATCATAATAATACATGAAGATAACAAATCGTCTAAATGGGCTTTCGGTCTCTTTGTAATGTTCACAATGCAGTTTTAATTAAGGCACATT